TATATTTTTATTTTTATTTATAAAACTTAAAGCTTTAAAAATAGTGTAAATCGACAAATCTATGAAAATTTAAAAATCTTGAAAATTGACGGTCCAAAAATACGTTACAAAATACACTATTTCCAAAATTTGAAATCCATTTTTTTTTTCTCATGTTCATGCATCTTGATGTCGTGATGATCAATTTGAGGATATTTGGGCATCAAAACAACTTTTTTTAGTAAAATTTTTAAAATAGGCTCTAATTTGATTGTTTATCTATATAAACTTTTTCCTATTATATCAGGCTGCTTTTTTGTTCGTTACTCAGAAATAAATGGTGCATAATGTACAATGTCTTCTATCATTTTACTTTTTCACGGTCTTCTTCCCATTTTTCCCATTAAAAACCAGCCAACTAAACTTATATAATAACAATAATCGACCTCTATTAAAATACCAAATTTCAAACACGACCTGACGCTACCAACTGCATCTCAAAGAAAGAGATTTACAGTCGGTTCTCTGAGTTATTCCTCCCCTGTAACAGAATTAACTAAGGTTTGTCAAAAAAAATTTATAGGAATTGTATATTGTGAGACTATTTATTTTTTACACAAGGTCACAATAATTTTTTACCGTGAAATCCAATAGATAAAAATGCATCATAACATTCAAAAAAATTTGTTTTAAACAATGTGCCCAAATAATGACACATCCTCAACTACTCGATTTCAAATTTAATGGTCAATGATAATTGTGATTTCTTGTAATAAAAAACATATGATCTCTTTATATGCATTTTTTTATTACAATCAGTGCTACATTTTGTCTATTATATGCTCAGTTTTAAGCTCTAGAAAGGCCTAAGCCAAAGTTTCATGAACCCATTTCAAGCTTGAAGAGATTGACAGATCAGTCATTCGGTAGAGAAAAAATAAACAAATAAACAAACTAGATATTTTCAGAGACTAGTAACACCCAGGCAACCTTAAGCGTGTGTATGTTTGTGTGAGAGAGAGATAGAGAGAAAGCTAAGTTTGGGTTGCAATGCATGTGGCATTACTTGTAGGATGAAGTTTCTATACAGCCTAGGTTTCATGGAAACAAAATAAAGCCTCACCTCAAATCGTTGTCCGAAAAGTACTTTCGGCATCAGCAAACTTCATGATGGCTCTAAAATCAATTTTTAATACTGATCATAAAATTTTAAACTCAAAAAATGGTTGTCTTGCAAATCTGTGAACACTAATTTTTAAGGTAAAATAGACGGTCTAGATAATTTGTTACAATATACACTATTTTTAAAGTTTGAAATCCTTTTTTTTTTTCGCAACCATAATTTTCGAGTGGAGATGATCAATCTATAGGTTTTACAATGTTTGAACTACAATTTTCAACAGGTTATGAGGTGAGGCTTTACTTATTTAGCCCTATCAAACTATTTTCCTTGTACTCAAAACCAAATTATTTGTTCCTTACAGATGATCGCCATCGCCATAGTAATGGGAATCCTGTTACACGCAGGGAACCACATCGCCTGCGATTTCCCCCGCCTCGTTCATGCTTCTCCATCACAGTTTGATTTAATCGCCTCCGATTTCAACAGAGAGATGCCAACTTACAAAAGCCTATTTGGAGGAGTAGCAGGCATTACTGGAATAGCAATGGTGGTTTTAATGGCTATTGCCTTCACATTGGCAACTCGATATTTTCGAAAGAACGCAGTGAAGATACCACCACCAATTAACAGACTCACAGGTTTCAATGCCTTTTGGTACTCCCACCACCTTCTGGCCATTGTCTACCTCCTCCTCATTGTCCACAGCAATTACATGTATTTCGTCCACAAATGGTATGAGAAAACGGTAAGAAACTCTACTGTTGATTCAGTTCAGTTAAATTTGCATGGTGAAAGTAATAAGTCATGCTTCCACGGGTAATATGCACCCTGAAATAAAAACCCCATGCAGGAGTATTTTTTGGACCCTGGCTTCGAGGATGTTAAATGTGGTCCACGAAAGAGAATGGGGATGGGTCCCAGTGGTGGTACCACCATGCCCCAGTTGAAGGTCACGGCCTTCATTCTCACTAAAGCATTCGAAAATCCGACCATTTCCAAAATGGGTACAGGCCTATAATCCCCACTGTTCTATCCAAAAAAAATAAAAGTTACCTCAAAAATAAAACAATAAATTAAAATAAAAAATATAAATAGTTTTTATGTGCTTTAGAAAAATAATGCATTAAAATTCAACTAATTTTTTTATCAGATCTAAGGCTTCAAAAACTGAATCCATTTTTTTACACCAAGTATTTGCCTGGTAATTTTAGAGAGGATCCCAAAATTTTAAATCAATAAATTGTCCTGTCTTTAAGACGTTAAACCTGGGGAGTAAATGTAGTGATCCCATGTGAGCACCCTCTCTCTCTCTCTCTCTCTCTCTCTCTCTCTCTCTCTCA